ATTAAATCTTTCCAAACAGCAAGGACACGATAGAGTGTTCTATTAATTTCTATCTCCTTTTATTCCCCTTGTGGCTTTTCAATCATTTCCTTTGAATATATATAGTTTTTAGAGTTTCTATTTTATCTGTGAGCATTATTATTTTATGTTTAGAACTGTATATTACTGGAACATAGTAATATAGCAGAACTTTGTAAATTTATAGTATGTGTAATATAAGTTTAAAGAGTAGTATATTTTGTTGGTTTCCCAACATTATTTTTCTGGATATAGATTTTAAATATTAAAAATAGTGATATTGTAGCTTATGACTTTTGTTGCATATTCTTTTTTCTTCTCAAATCATGGCCAGCATTTCTGGTGATGAAAAGATTTTTGAAAATATAAATAATACTTATAATGGACTTTTACCTAGAATTTATATATACTCAGTGAATAGACAAACAGCCTAATAAAATAAATGTATAAATGACTTGAGCAGAAACTTCATTGGTGAAGATAAGCAGATAGTGAACTCGCAAGTGAAGTTGCTCAACATTACTCATCAGGGAAATGCAAACCCAAACCACGAGACATCACTTTGTACCCACTGGAATGGGTACAACAAACATGACTGAACTCCAAATGTTGGCAAGGATTTAGAGCAACTGGCACCCTGGCAAAAGTGTAAAATTACACAACGTTGAAGAACTGTTTGCACTGTCTTATTAAGTTAAATATATACCTATTTTATAAACCTAGAAATCTCAATCCTAAGTATTCCCTCCCCACCAATAAAGGATATTTCCACAACAAGACTTGTTTAAAAAGTATTTTTAACAGCTTTATTCATAATAGCCCCAAACTAGAAACAACCCATATGGCCTTCAACAGGAGAATGGATAATATTGTCATATATAGGTATATTTCTCAGAGAAAAAATATTGCTGAATTTTCATCCATGAAAATATGGATGGAAAAAAGCCATTCACAAAGGGCTATATATGGTATGGTTTCCTTTGTATGAAGTTCAAGAACAGATCAAACTAACCTATGATGATAGAAATCAGGGCCACGGTTGCCTGTCATGACTGGGGAGTAATGGGAAGAGATAAGGGAATCTCTACAGTGATGGAAATGTCCYAGATCTTGGTTGGAGCATCTGTTGATAACAAATGTATATATTGGGCAAAACTCAACAAGATGTACATTTAAAACTTGTACATTTTACTGTGCATAAATTTTAACTCAATTTCTTTTTAATTATAAGGAATCTGATTGGCCCATCTGGAGTCAGGTGTCTTGCTTTCCTTCAGTAGTCAGTTTTTGCCAAATGATCAAACCAAATAGTAGAGACATGGTTCAAAGAAGGGGTATCAGTGTATGCTTGGCTGCCACCCCACAAAGTGTCAGTATATATTATGTGGTGTTAGTCTCTGTTTTCAAAACCATACCATATTTTTCTATATTTGGGAAGTGTTTAATATATCARAAGATTTTTTTGTTGTTGTTTTTGTGATGCTGGAGATTGAAGCCAGGACTTCACATGTGAGAAAAGCACTCTACCACTGAACTAAGTCCCCAGACTTTATGGAATTTTTACTCTTAAGAAGTTAGGGAAATTTTTCAAATGATTTGATCAGATAAAAATAATATAAAAGGGGCTGAGAATGTAGCTCAGTGGTAGAGCACTTGCCTAGCATATGTGAAGCCCTGGGTTTGATCTCCAGCACTGTAAAATAATAATAATAATAATAATGGGAGCTGAGTTTAGTCAATACATGCTGTATATTGTACTCAATATATTTATTTGTTCAGTTGAAATATAATGCTGAACCCCATTAACATGTATAATTAATGCATGTTAATCAAAAATAAAGTGAAAATAGGCCCCAATTCCCCCCCCATAGTAATTATACCATTTTAGTAAACTTTACATCAGAATTCTGAGTTTGAATCGATGGCCATACCACCCAGAACGCGCCTGATCTCCTGTGGGTCAGGCCTAGTTATTACTTGGATAGGAGAATTCTGAATTTGCTCCTAGTGTGGAGAAAAGAACACAGGTGGGAAGACATCAACTCCAGGCTTGCATTTCATCACACAGTAGATGATTTATCTAGGGAGCCAACTATTTTGTTTGAATTCAGTCTGTCTAGATACAAAATGAGGACAATTCTTTCTCTATCCACCTTATAAGCTCTAGATACAAAATGAGGACAATTCTTTCTCTATCCACCTTATAAGCTACTGAACAAGAACTTGGCAATAATTTGCTCTAATTCTTTTATCTTCCCCAGGAAGAAACTCATCAGTTAAGGCTTTGCTTTTGCTCTTCTTTTCTGACACAGATCCCTTTAAGGAATTGTTGAAARCTATAGACTCTTCACCTCAGAAGAATGATGTACTTGTGTGTGTACGCACTCCCACGTGTATATAAAATATGCAATATACCTTACTGCATATTATGTTTCAAAGAATCACAAAATTCCTGAAGTTCATTCTTAGGGAAGTCAAGTTTAAAAATCCTGAATTAGAGAAAACAATTTAAATGAATCAAAAGAGTTTTTTAAAAAACAAACGTACACTAAAATAAGCTTGTTTGTTTCAGCATGAACATAGTTATTTTCAGGCAATGTTATTAATATATATTATTTATCTATTAACACTCAACATGTTCTAGACTTATAGGTTAAATGCCACTCCATAATTCTAAATTAGTGACTATCATTTTATAAGAGCTTCTTCTACTATCATGAGAGAACAAGTTGCTAAATGTTTTTAAATTAAATAAGGCATCATTCTAGATATGAAGCAACAGCAGGATTCTTCTCCACTTTGAGTTGAAACATGATCTTGTTTCCCACATTTTCAGTGCTTTCTATAGAAAGACATGCTTGTCTTAAACTTGTCTGAACAAAGGCTTATGTAAATTAATGCATTATCATGTATAGTTCTTTATAATCAAGGAAATTTTTCATGTTGATAGTTTATTGAGGTAGAAATAAGACAAAGTATATMGAGTTTGTGAGTATAGCAGAAAAGCAATTTCTGAGGAAATGTTATATGTGTGGATGCCCAGTATTTAGCATAGAGCCTTGAACACAGAAGGGACTAAAAGGTAACATTTAATTMCTAGGGAACTGTGTATTGCTTTTATTGCTATATAATCTCACCAGAAGAAAGGAAGAGACTAACAAATAAAAACAAAATAAATAATAAAACTTCACAGAATTTTCTTAGAAAAAAATAATTTTAATTCATATGTTTAGCACAATTTTCTTTATTTTTTTATATATATATAAAACAAGCCCAAAGCAAAACCCCTATCATTCATTTAAAACACAAATCATTTCAGTACTTCTTCTTTGGAATGTCTACAACTTCCTCATGTGGCCTCAGAGAAGGGCTCCATGCCTTACATTGACCAGGACAGAAATCCAGTAGGGAGAAATCCTGTTGCAATGGGTAACTATTTTCATCTAAGACAAAAAGGCTCTGAATCTTCAACACACAAGGCTCTGTGCTATCCATCAACAAGGAGAGAAGCAGGTCTGCTGCAACCATTCCATAGGTGATCTCTGAAGAAGGTACTAAGGAAGAACAAAGACATACAGGAAGCGTTCAATATCCCTTCCAGATTACTAGACACACACATTGAGTGTTTCATTGTTTCATTTGGTTCCTCAAGTCTCATACCCATGTTAAATTTCTCATTTTATACCTCTCTTTCTAGTTTCAAGTTACTGAAAGCAGTCTAGTACAATAGCCTGTGATTCTCATTAACAGGAAAAGCAAGCTCAGAAGATGAGTTATTCAGACTGACAGCAGCTCCTATTGCCACACAGCTGTCAGCTTCTTAATGTAGCAAAGAACTGAGACTAATGTTTCCCTAAGTTATGAATAAAACAAAAAGAGAGTATCTGTATTTAAAAAAAGACTCTCATATTTATCTGATCTATTGTTTTTAATCACAATTACCTACACATATACTGGTTGAAGAAGTGTTCTGAATTTTAGATTTTGGGGGGATTTAGGAATATYTGTGTGTGTGTATGTGTGTGTTGAAATTGCACTAGTTCCTTGACCAATACCAACAGTCTTTCTTGGATTGGGCTATTATTGTCCTGGAGGTCACATTTCCAGAAATAAAGTAATTTGAAATTTTTGTATTTCCAGAAGTATGGTAATTTAAAATAACATATTTCCAGAAGTATGGGAATTTAAAATTATTGTATTTTCACTTTGATAAACAAAAAAAATCTGCACTAGATTATGCTAAGTGAAGCTAGTCAATCTTTAAAAAACAAATACCAAATGACTCCTTTGATATAAGGGGAATAAACAAGGACAGGGTAGGGAGGAAGAGCCTGAGAAGAAGATTTACATTAAACAGGGATGAGAGGTGGGAGGGAAAGGGAGTGAGRARGGAAATCACATGGAAATGGAAGGCGATCCTCAGGGTTATACAAAATGACATATAAGAGGAAAGGAGGGGTAAGACAAGATAATACAAATSGAAGAAATGATTTACAGTAGAAGGGGTAGAGAGAGAAAAGGGGAGGGGAGGGGAGGGGAGGGGAGGGSGGATAGTAGAGAATAGGACAGACAGCAGAATACATCAGACACGAGAAAGGCAATATGTCAATCAATGGAAGGGTAACTGATGTGATATAGCAATCTGTATAAGGGTAAAATTGGGAGTTCATAACACACTTGAATCAAACTGTGAAATATGATGTATTAAGAACTATGTAATGTTTTGAACGACCAACTACAAAAAAAATAGTAACTGAAAAAAAAATAAAATAAAATGTATGTATGTGCAAAAAAAAAAAAAAATCTGCACTAGTGATTATATGGATGGTCTGATAACCTCTTTGTAACTAATATAATCTAACATACGCCAAGAAATATAACTGTCTCAAAAATAGATAAGCACAAAGCATATCTGATATAAGAATGATGCTTCTCTGAGAAATAAAGACTACACTGTGTATAAAATGGAAGAGATAAGACCTTGGGATGTGGCTTGATGGTAGAGTGCTTGCCTAGCATGCATGAGGCCCTGGGTTCAATTCCCAGCATCACAGATAATAATAATAAGAGATAAGATTGACAATATAAAAATAATAATATTATTATCTTAAAAGATGAAAGAGATAATATTGAAAATATAAAAGAACATTGAGAAAAGGAATGAAGATAGCCAAAAGAATGCACATAAAGAAAAACAAATTACAAAAGCAAACAAATGAAGATTCTTCAAATTAGGATGTAGAAAGCTGGAGAGATATGGCTCCCACCCCAAGTTATTAGAAAAAGCTAACTGACAAAATCATCATTTTTCTTGGAACCACAGAAAAACAAGGTTTCACAGCAGCCAAGAAGTGTGGGTAGGACRGATACCTCCAAGGAGGGATGGAACAGGAGCCAAGTCCAATCACAATAGGGCTTGGGAAGAAGTCAAGCCCACCAAACAAACAGGAAAAGAAGAATATATTCAATTTTTTAATGAATTGCTAAAAGTCAAATACAGGCCAATACCACAGACATAAGGGAATTTGCATCTGTGCTGGCCCTTCRATGTGGCTGTTTTCACCTCTATCAGGTGCTCATAGCCTGGGGCAGCACAAGACATCAGAAAAGGCTTCCAACTGTTGGGAAGTCCTGAAGGAGGGGAGAAAAGTACRAAATGCTGCCTGGGCTTCCCCATAAAAGAAACAAAAGCCTTAACTGCTGGAGGAAAAATAGTAAATTCTGTTGCCCCAGAAGAGGACCCAGTATAGATGAGAGAAAAATAAGAGAAAAAAATCCTTCTAACCCTGGAGAAGAGACAGAAAACCTCTCTAGATCAAGATGCACAATACACTGCTACTAGGGAAGGGGACAGAGCCACACAAGCAAGAACACCAAAGTCACAGTGGAACTTATTTGCCATGGCAAAACGGGCAAGGCCACAGAGGAAGTGTCACACCCAAAACCCTRTAAGACTGGAACAGAATCATAGAGAGAATCATCCTGGTCCCCTTCCCCGACCAACCTAGGATGCACCAAATAACAACCAACAGAAGCCAGGTCAGCTTGAGGACATGTAAGAACATAGAGAGATTCAAAATACAGTCATGCACCACATGAAGTCACTGAAACACTGCACACATGATGTTGGTCCCATAGATTGCAATGGACCTGACAAATTCCTATCACCCAGTGATGCAGCCTTCCTAATGTGATTGGGTAAAGCATTATCACGTTTTGTAGTGATGACAGTGTTCAACTACTGTGCTGCCAGTTGTATAAAAGTATAACACATATAATTTTTTATACTACCTAATATTTGATGAWAATAAACAACTATGTTATTGGTTTACTACAGAATATTTTTTAAATTGTTATTTTAACTGTACTCTTACCTATTTTTTTTTAAATCATTTGCTATAAAAGAGTATGCTGTGTTACACTGGCAGCAGCCTCATATATCTCATACCAGGTCTCCTGATTGCATCAAGCAGTAATGTGGAATGACTGACCTGTACTCTCCRGGTTTGCATAAGCATACTCTATGACACTTACAAATAACATGTTTCTCAGAATATATCTCAAATACAACTGTAGCTAAACAGAGGATTTTGAATATTTTCAACACAAAGAAACAATAAAAGTTTGAAGTTATGGAAATGTTAATTATCCTGATTTGATCATTATATATTGTACACACATATCAAAATATCACACTGGACTCCATAAATATGTATAAGTATGGAAAGAAGCTCTGTAAAGTCCAGGTACAAAGTGAAGGACTAAAGCTTGCAGCAGAGCAGAAGTAGATGGAAGTGCTGCTCACCATTCTCACAACAAAATACTCATGAATCTGAGGCCCATGCCTGAAGTCAACCATACCCCTGCCCACCCAGTAAAGATCTAAAAGAAGAAGCATGCTAAATGCAATGTTCAGCATTCAAACAAAAACTATTACACACACAACAAGCAAGAAAAACAATACACCATTAAGAGGCAAAGCAATAAAAAGAGCCAAATTAGTTCATCTGCTTAAAGAATCTGAGGCTAATGAGAACAGGTAAGGAGTTTGATTATCTGATAGGTGCAGTATCTTTGCTTTGTCCTTAGCCACTGACTGTCCCTGACATTCTGGCTGAAGAGCTTGCAAATTCATTCTACTGAGAGTAGACTACCTTCAAATACATGGAATTACACATTCATTTATTTATTATAAAACTTGGGCCCTGGGGCTTTTGCTGACCAATGGGGAATTTAAAGAGAGATTAGGTACTTCCCCGTATTCATGTACCCAGATAGATATAGAGCAAATCTCACCTTTTAACTTACATAGACTTATGTTTTACTCAAGGTAAATTATCCTTCTGCTTTTATGCTGATGAAAAAAAAGTTAATTTACAACATAGCATTCCTTCTGTTCCAATATACTACCTATACTCCTGAATGAATGGTTTCATGAAGAAAATCTCCTTGATGGAGTGTTGACACATTACCTACAATTCTGTTGAGGCAGTCTGGAGAAATGTTGAGAAGAATCTTCTCTATTAACTCTGATCCTACATGGATGCAAATGTTATGTGTTCCATCAGCTACAGTCATTAAAGCTGGCCTACAAAAAAAATAGAAAATAGAAGTTAAAAGAGATCATTAGTAGAGGGAAATTTAGTATAACAGAGACAAAATGTGACTAAGGATTTTCCCACTTTACCCATATGGTGATTCTAGGTCCCATCCTCTTCTCACTTTACATTCTTTCTCCAGGCTCACTCTCTCCCTCCATTCCTTTTTTTWWAAACTTTTTTTAAAATTCGTTCTAATTAGATATATGAAAGTAGAATGCACTTTGATACATCAAACATAAATGGAGTATAGTTTCTCATTCTTCTGGCTGTACATGATGTAGAATCCCACCAATTGTACAGTTATATATGTACACAGAGTAATAATATCTGATTCATTCTACTGTCTTTCCTACTCCCATATTCCCTTCCCATCCCTTCACTCTCCTCCACCTAAAGTAACTCTACTCTTCCCTAGCCTCCCCCAGCTTATTGTGAATTAGCATCTGTATATCAGAGAAAACATGAGGCCTTTGGTTTTTTGGAATTGGCTTATTTGGCTTAGCATTATGTTCTCTAGCTCCATCCATTTACTGGCAAATGCCATCATTTCATTCTTTTTTAAGGCTGGGTAATATCATCACATTTTCTTTATCCACTCATCTGTTGAAGGGCACCTAGGTTGCTTCCATAGTTTAGCTATTATGAGTTGAGCTGCTATAAATCAGCATACTACAGTGACCCAGCCACATCAATGTTTACAGCACTTCCATTTTCCCTCCATTCTTTATGTCAACAAAGACAAGCTGAGTATTCATTATGTACCATGACTGTGCTAAACATTGGCTATACACTAATAGCAAGACAAATCTGATGCCTTCTTTAAGGAACTTATAAATTTAGTAAGAAAAAAGAAAATAAGTTTTGTTTGTTTGTGTTTTTGTTTTGTTTTGGTGGTACCAGGGATCAAACCTAGGGGAGAGATGACTTGACTGCAGTGTCAGTGGTGGAAATGGAAAGAAGTGGGCAGATTTAAGAGTGTTTGGAAAAYAGAATTGGCAAACTTTAGTGATTGAGTGGGCTTTGAACATTTGTTTKAAAAAACGGTGTTGGGTGTGGTGGTGCATCACAAGTTTGAGAGCGGTCTTAGCAACTTAGTGGAAGCCTGTCTCAAATTGAAAAAAAAAAAGGGCTGGGGGTGCTGCTTGGTAGAGCACCCTGGGTTCAATCCCAAGAAATGCCAAAAAAAAAAAAAAATTCCTGTTATAATTTCTGGACAATATTTGCTTTTATAAATAGCTACTTGTCACTCAAGRAGAGTATTTTATTCTCTTCAATTAGCTCTAGTTAATTTTTGTTAGAAAGTAATGATACATGTAATTTTTCAGTCACTTCCAGTCCTAAAATTTCCTTTACATTGGCTTGCTTAGTTGTCTTACCTATAATGTGTTTTCTTCTTAGCAAATGGCAAGCAGCTAAGACACTGTCTGTAGATTTTGTTTTCATCTGTTTCTAGTTCCAATCCACATTTTGCACAGCCAGTATATATAATGTGGGGGAGAGAGGAGAAGATACTCTTCAGGGAACTGTGAGCATTTAGAGTTATCTTCTGAGCTGCTGCAACAGGAAATACTAGCTCTAAAATTTGAGCTTTAATTAGAACTACTCCTATAAAAGACAAACAAAAATATTATAAATTATTGACCCAAATTATAATTTTAATTATCAATGTGGCTTATGATATGGTTGATTTAGTCACTTAGAGTAAAGATTACATTAAGCTCTTGTTTTTGACTTTTTTTTTTTTTGTCTTCACTCTTCCTAGAGTCTCACAGCTTCAGTACTGACTCTAGAATCTAAATGKATCTCTACATGCAAGTGAGTAAAAATTTATTTGGCTAATATGACTAAACATGTTGTGGATATTTTCTTCCTCCCCACCCTCTCGAATCATGCAAAATAAATTTAATCCTTCTTTTAGGAGAAAGTCCTTCAAATACTTGAAGCTAACTAATATGCCCTCTTTCACTGTCGTGTCAACAATCTTTTTAATTTATTTCAGTCAAAAGTCAAGCAGGAGGTGGGTTAGTTATTCTACTCTCTCCTCTATCCAAAAGTAATAAACCAATAGTCCACCTGTTTTTTATTCCCCCTCCCCCTACCAATTTCTTGCCCATCCATCCATCCTGGGTTATACAGCCACGTGAGCACTGACAGTCCTCATTAACTAATGGTTTCTCATGTGACTCAATGTAAACCTAAAACATGCTCAATGACTACTTAATGGCTCATCATTCACCTGTTGAACAAATACTGAATATCTACTGTCTGCCAGACATTTTTTTTCCTTTCAGTATATTAGTAAATTCTATGAATTTATCTAAGCATACTCTCCCCTCTTCTCCATAATAAGGGGGTGTTGCTCAGTGGTAGAGTGCTTTCTTAGTATGTGCAAGGCCTGAGTTCAATCCCCAGTGTGTATATATATATATATATATATATATATATATATCACG